TCCCCCCACATCTTAGTGTCATCAGCAAATTTGAACAGGGTGCTTTTTACCCCCTTGTCCAAATCACTGACGAAGATGTTGAACAGTGCGGGCTCAAGGACCGAGCCCTGCGGGACCCCACTGGCCACATCCCTCCAGGTTGAAAATGAGCCATCCACCACCACTATCTGGGTGCAGCCCTCCAGCCAGTTGGCGACCCATATGACTGTGTAGGTGTCAACACCACAGTCCCCCAGTTTTTAAATGAGAACAGGGTGAGAGACAGTGTCGAAGGCCTTGCGAAAGTCCAGAAAGACTGTCACCTGCTACCCCTGCATCTAAGGATTTGGTGACCTGGTCATAGAAGGCCACCAGGTTGGTCTGACAGGACCTGCCTCTAATGAACCCGTGTTGGTTACCCCTAAGCATAATCTCCCTTCTGGCCCCTTGTGGACATGTGCCAGAATAATTTTCTCAAAAAGCTTGCCCAAGATCGAGGTAAGACTAACTGGCCTATAGTTTCCCGGGTCCTCCTTCTTCCCGTTTTTGAAAATGGGAACCACATTGGCCCTCTTCCAGTCCTCTGGCACCATGCCAGAGCACCACGAGTGCTCGTAAAGCCATGCCAGGGGTCCTGCAATGACCTCAGCTAATTCCCGCAGCACTCTGAGGTGGAGATCGTCCGGACCAGCTGATTTAAATGCATCCAGTTCCTCCAGAAGTTCCCTGACTAGATCCTCCTTGACCCTTGGCCTAGGTGCGCCTCCCCTGGGGCCTGAGGGAGGCCCGGTGAGGTGGCTGATCCGGTCCCTGCTCAGGAAAATGGAGGCAAAGAAGTCGTTAAATAGGTTAGCTTTGTCGTCTGGTGTGACGACCAAATTTCTTAGCGTGTCTTGCACAGGGACCCCACGTTACCCGGTACCTTCTTTTTGCCCCCTATGTATTTAAAAAAGGACTTCGTGTTGTCCTTGATCCGGGAAGCTAGTCCCAGTTCCATCTCTGCCTTGGCCTTTCTGACTGCCCCCCTGCATCCCCAAGCAACTGCAGTATAATCCTCCCTGGTGATGGCCCCTCCTTTCTATTGGGTGTACGCCTCCCTTTTAGCTAAGAGACATTCTCGGATGCTTCTGGTAAGCCATGGGGTCTTTTGCACCCTCCTGCCCCCTTTGATCCGTGTTGGGATTGTCTCCGTTTGGGCTTGGAGGATTGTCTCCTTAAGGAGTGACCACTCTTCTTGGACACCTGGCTCCCTTCCCCTCTGGGACCTCAGTGGTTCCCCGACTATTCTCCTTAGCTCATTGAAGTCCACCCTCCTGAAATCTAGGGCTGCTGCCTTGCTGTAGGCCTTTGCCACCTTGTGCTGAATGGTGAATTCCAGCAGGTGATGATCACTGTCGCCCAGGTAGACGAGCACCTGCAGCCAGCACCAGGTCCAACAAGGCATCTCCCCTGGTGGGCCTGTACACCTCCTGGGTTAGATGGAGGTCCTGCATTTTGGCTAGGAACCTATGTGAGCTGTCAGACCTGGCCGACTGCTCTTTCCAGCAGATGTCTGGAAAGTTCAGGTCACCCATGATGACCATGTTTTTTGACCTAACTACCCGTGTGAGCTGACTTAAGAATTCCTGGTCTAGCTCCTCCCCTTGGTTGGGTGGTCTGTAGTAGACCCCCACCATTAAATCTCTTTCCCCTCGACTGCCTTGTATTCCAACCCAGAGCGCTTCAGTGTGCCCCTTCTCTGACTCTGTGCTGCTTGATGAGGATGTGTATTCCTCCTTAAGGTAGAGTGCCACACCCCCACCTTTCCTCCCTGTCCTGTCCCTCCTGTGCAGCCTAATAGTTGATATAGAGTGAAAACGAATTGATGACTTCATGCGAGACAGTTCATGGTACCTGTATCTTTGTTTATTTTAATTGTCCCCTTCTCTGGCCACTCTTGGGGTTAGAAGCATCTAAATTGCTCTGATTCTCTTATGAATTTTTACATACTCCTTTTTTTAAAGTCTCTTAGATTTATTTAATGTTTGTATATAAAATTTATCTTTAATGTGAATCATCTTGGAAAAAAACTTTTCATAGCTTTTTTGTGGTAAGTTTTTATGGAGGATAAACTTGTTGTTGTTGTTATTTTATCCTTTCAGCAAACAAGCCTGTCTCAGTACCTCCTGGTGGATTTGTGAATCCAGCTTATCCACCAGGTTATACAGGAAATCAAGCTGCTTATGGGTATCCTCAGTATGCACCTGGAACTTTTGGGGGTAAGTTATTTGGCTATGAATTGACACATACAAAACAGATCTATCATATTCCAAGGGGAAAAAAAAAATAGTTTGGGTAATGGGAGGCTGTTTTGAGCAGCATATTTAATATAAGTATACTTCATCCTAAGATGATGAAGGTTTCGTAGGTTTGGGGGTTTTTTTAATCATCAGTTTACATTAAGAGACATATAAGGTAGCGCAGAATTCTTTTGCTGATGCTACTGATACTGAACCTGTGTCTGTAGTTCAGCATCTCTTTTAAACCATACAGTGTGTGAACAACTGAACAAATGTCCTTTGTAATTTTAGTATAATGCTTTCTTCTATGTAGATTAAATTCAGTTAGTGAAGGGATTTATAGTGGCTGAATGTTAACATTCTGCTAAATTTTCATCTTGGATACCCATGAAAATTGTATAGTTCAAGTTCAGTTTTATCTGTTGTGGGGCGGAGGTGCGGGGGGAACCTTCTATATAAAATAACTTCTATATACAACCTATTGGGTGAACTAGACTTTTCAGTACAAATGCAGACAAACTTCAGAGTACCTTCGCATTTAAATAAATGCCATGTGCGCCATCTAGTGGGACTGTTGCACATTCAAGTACACTACATTGCTTGACTTGAACCTGCTTTTGTCATTGTTGTTCATAAAAATTCAATGCTGTTTGGACAACTAAATACAGAGATTATTCATTTGACACTAAGATGATACAGAATTATTTAATATTTTTGTAAATACATGCACAGTGCCAGAACAGCAATATTTTTTTCTGTTTAGAGAGGATGCATAAATGTATGCGTATGCTGTATCCCAGAAGTTTGAAAGCTGCAAACTTTATTTTTAAAATACCGTTCAGCTGTAAAAACAAGCAGAAATATACCGCTACAAAAATCACATTACTGAGAAGTCTTCAAATTGATAGCAAAGGCACTGGGTAGCAGAGCAGTTAAGGCATCTTAGCATGGCTCCAGGGTCATGGGTTCAAGCCCTGCTCTGGACTCATGCTGATGGCCTCTCCTGTTTGAACCAGCTGTAAATGAGTCATTTAGGTTGGAGAGTCAAAGGCACCTGGACCTGACGCTAGCTTTTTTGTTTGTTGTTGACTAAGAAACCAAAGTAAATTTAAGTCCGAAGTACACTCTGGACTCTGCTCTCTCCCTCCCCCTCCCCCCCAATAGAAGTTGTATGCATTAACTATGTTGGCATAATGAATATGGTGCATCTTACTACTATAGAATAGGCACAATTATACCAGCATATGTTGTTATTACATGAGGGTAATTTCACTATACTTGTAGAAGGCACATTTTATGCTGCTAACTGAATCCATGTTAAGGTCTGTATCAGTATAGTAAAATCCTACATAGAGCTGAAACTTGTTTCAGATCAAAACTGTAAATAGAGCAAGTCTGTAATTCTTTAAGGACATACTCTGTCATCTTAATGAATAAATTGTACTTCTGAGTATTTCCCACTGAAGTTGGGCACTGGTCAGAGTGAACAAAATGGCAGATTTTGACACTGATTTTCTTTTGCATAAAACAAACCTGACAGTGGATAGCATATTTAGCACCTTTTCTTTCAAAACAGTCCCTGAATAAACATACTGAAGTGGTCAGATCCAGTCTTTCCTCTTTCCCTCTGCAAGGTGGAAGATGGACAGCTGGTCCTACGTGCTCAATGCCATGAGGGGCATGGAGGAAGGGGTTTCAGTCTCTGGTGCCATGGTGGTTTTTTGTTGCTAACAAGTATTTCATGTTCAGCCCCTGGGAGGGCCACATACCTTTGCACTTTTACCAATTTCTTTTTAATATTTGTGTAATAAAGTTTTAACAAGTCAAAAGAAAAGTGTTTCTCTTTCCTCCCTCCCTCACTCCTCCTCCCCCTTCTTCAAACCAGTTTGGAAAAAAACAGCGTGGAAAAAAATTCTCTATTCATGCTGCAGACGGCTAGAAAGATGGGAGCTAATGTCATTATCAGTCAAAAGTCCACAATACTTAAGTCACATCTTGACATTGATGCTGAAGCTCTGGGATTGCAGTGATTTTTTTTTTTTTTTGTCATGATACATTTACACTTTTCTTTTTAATATCTATTTTTCAGAATTTTATTCCAGTTTTATTTTGCTCTTCCCATAAACTAGGTGCTCCCGGACAAGCTAACTATGTCTTCCAGGGCTACCCAGTAGGAACTCCATATGCACCTGGGGTGCCCCCAGTCCAAAATCAGCCTGTTGCGCCTGGTGGGGCACCCTGGATGCCAGCACCACCGCCTCCTCTCAACTGTCCTCCTGGATTAGAATACTTAAGTCAGGTACTTATATTCTTCACTTTACTCTGATCAGAAAAAGCAAAGCTACTGGGTAACTGGACATGTTTAACCTAGTGGGAACTCGCAGCTCACAGGATCATGTGTGGTTTTTCTTTTGGAGGGAAGGAGAGGAGAGCATTTGCATCTTTTGCACCTGGGTCAATTGTCAGAATTATACCAGACCCATTGTAACTGAAAGAATTTACCATTTTGTGGATTTTCAGTAGCTCATTTTATAATGTTACAGACTCAGTTTTAAGACATGAGTCATATGTGACATTAATTTGCTCCTTGCTAGGCAGGAGCAAATTTAGAGACCCCCCTCCAGATGGAATGACTATAGAGACTGCGCCGTTATGTATCTTTATATTGTAAACAGCAACTCTTGGAAGCATGGTGTGCTGGGGCAAAAGCTCATATTGTAACGTGGCAGTGGTAACACAATCAGACTTCATGACTTTTGCCATGCCATTTTTTAATAACTAATATTTCATCCCCCCAGATATTTTTAAGTAGACATAGGAGACTGGTGATTAATACTTTCACCATATTGGTATTCAGGGGCTGGACTCGATGATCTTCCAAGGTCCCTTCCAGCCCTAATGTCTATGAAATCTATGTACTTGCTTTCCTGCAACAGTTCAGCAGAATTTTGTTTTTCAGAGAGATTTAGTAAATCCTGAAGCAATATCTTAGTCCTAGCTCCAATCTAAAATATTGTTTTGCCAGTAGGGGGAAGGAAAGTGTTGCAGCTTCAGCTGTCTGTAGAAGTTCCCCGGTCCATAATAACTCTCAAAATCAGAGTTTGAATGTTTGAAATTGTGAAGTCTTTTTCTAGGAATAGCTTTTTAAGTTGGTCTGCCTGGGTGGGTTGGGTATGTGTGAGTTCAGTTCCATATGGGAACTGCCAGATAATCTGACAGTGCAAATACTGATTGATCCACAGATTTTCATTCTGAAATATAATTTTTTCTGAGGCAAAAAAGTAATATTTTCTTTCCCAATTTTTATCTTCCACTTCTCATTCTAATCTGTTTTTTTTTTTTTTTTAAACCCCTAACAGATTGACCAGATATTAATTCATCAGCAGATTGAGCTTCTGGAAAGTATGTATCAGTCTTTTATTTAGCACAGTCTTAAACTGCTGTGGTCCATCATCTAGTAACCATACATGATTGTTAAACTTCGGTATAAATTAATGAAAGAAATTCTTTGTTGGCATTTCTTTTAGAGAGAGAGCCTTTATTAATTTGTGTTTTATTACATATCTTCATTAATTCTGCATTATAGTATGTTCAGGGGACAAGAGGGGTGGAGGAGGAACAGTGTAGAATTGTACTTTTGAAGTAGCTTTTTTGAATATCTCAAATTTAGAAGTACAATTAATTAAGTGCAGTGAATAATTAGTATAATGATGCTATCTGCATAATATATATCTGTGATCTAATTTATTCACATAGTTATAGCTATTTCTTTAGAGATGTCCCTTTCCATTTCAGACTCGTCTCATAATTGGGCCTGTCTGACATTTGGATGTCTTGCAGTTAATTTTAAATGAACTTGTTTTTTCCTCCAACTTCTTGGCACTCATGTTCTCTTATTTTTGATCACATCTAGGTTCTCTTATTACTCATAACTTTTTTTAATGGATGTTGTTTTGGACTGCTTTTATATTACCCTATGCAACTAGACTATATCCCTAAGTTTCCTTTCCATATCACTTCTAAGAATGTATCCACTTTTGTTTAGCACTGCCTCCCACCTGCCTCCTTCATCGCCTCCCCCCCATCCCCCCCCAAGTGCCTCCCATTCTTGTCCAGATGAACACTGCCTCTTATATCACTTACTGTGATTACTCTTTGGCCTCCCTACACAAACACATTTTTCCTTTTGCCTCTTATCAAAATGGAGCTCTGTGGTCTGCAGCTCTAATGGTCTTTTCTCCCTCTTTGGATCCCTCTGTTTTCTCCCCATTTCAGTTTAAGGCTTCTTGTTCTTCCTTCAGGGCCATTCACAATGCTGGTCCTCCCTAGTTATCTGTTTTTGTTTTCTGGCTCGTTGCTGCCAGACATATCTGGTCACTTCTCAGCTTCTTTCTCCTTGCCTTTCTCAAGACAGAAAAGGTCTTATATAATATGACTCAGCTGTGCCATAATCTAACAGAAATTAGTCAGTTCAGACTGAGCAGTGGAGTGAATAGTTAGCAGGGTATTCATAATAGAAATAAACATCACAGATGCATACAAAATTTTGCAATATTGTCCCCCTTTTCACTTCTAAGGCAGTATTCTTTTTGGATTGTAAATTCTTCAGTAAAAAGGCTTGAATCTTCACATAAGTTTCTCTAGAGATTAGCACAGTGGTTTCCAGATGCTGACTGGGGTTATGCTACTCTTGGTGTTTACATGAATAGAATCACTCAATACAAACTAACTAAACTGTTTTACTTTTTAGTTATTACTGGTTTTGAAACAAACAACAAATATGAAATAAAAAATGCCTTGGGGCAGAGGGTATACTTTGCAGCAGAGGAGAATGATTGCTGTACTCGCAATTGTTGTGGACCATCGCGACCTTTCACCATTAAGATTATTGATAATATAGGGCAAGAAGTGATCACATTGCAAAGACCTCTCAGGTGCTCTTCTTGCTGTTGTCCTTGCTGTTTGCAGGAGGTGAGTTGCTCCTTTCTAAGTCTTCCTTTAGTGTTAAATTCTTTTGGGCTTGATTTTTCTTGGTGTCAAGAAGTGAGGTACAATAGGACTGATTTTGTCTGAAACTTTTGGGGAAATATCAAGTGTGTGTGTCTGTCAATGTTTCTTCCAGTGTCTGTCATGACTTCTGTGATCCCTTTTTAATAGAACTCTTAACCTGGTCAGATAATGCTATGTGTGTTTCTTGGAAGGCAAACTGAAGTATTCTTCATTGATTTAATATTGTCCATGAAAAGTTCATGCACAACAGCTTTCAGGATTGAACCCTAATGAAGCAACAGTTTTTAATCCAAAATTCAAAATATCTTCACATTCCTGGGCCCTCACTAAGAGTTTCCACTGAAAGACATACAGTAATATGCTGTTTTCTGTTTTGAATTCCAGTCTGCCGAAGCTTTGTTTCTCCCAAAATTTCTTTTCTTTTCTTTTTCATGTTCTGTCTTAGCAGACAAACTTAAATCAGATTAATAAAATGATCTGCAGTTAATTTAATGTGAGCTTGGGGTATACAATAATACAATGTTAAGGTGAAAATTGTAGTTCTTATGTATTTGGAAAACATCACTAACAGAAATAGTCTGACTAGTCCAGGATCTTTTGGTTCTCTTTGAGTCTTTGTGCTTTCAGGTGAATGTGCTTGATTTTTTTTAAAGGAAGTTTCCTCACAATATTTGTCTGTACCAAAGATAATTTTATAAGAACATAAAAAATTCTGGCATACTCATTAGGCGTGTGTGAAACTTTGATAGCTGATTTGATTCAGAGAAGATTCGGGGGCTGAATCTCTGAATTGAATTGGGTGACCCATTAAAAGGTCCAAATCAATATGGAGATTTGGGCAGTCCCCACTCTCAGCTGCAGGGAGCTGGACCTGGGCTCTGTGCCAGAAGTAGTGGAGGGGGGGACTGGGGGAGGGGACCATGGGGGGAGCCCTGCCTGGCCCAGGTGTCCTGGCACTTAAAAAAAAAAAGGCAAAAAAAAAGCCCCACATTCACTGGCTGCAGCAGTGGTGATTGGGGCCTCTGGGGGCTTATGGCAGAGCCCCCTGCCACTGTGCAGTGGGAGGCAGTGAGGATCATCCCCCAACCCCCGCCTAGCATCCACGCAGCAGCTGTTGCATTGCGCAGGTGCTGCGTGGCTCAGCAGAGCATGGCAGGGCTCTGTGTGCTATCCGGGAGCTGGGACTGCTTGGGCTGAATGCTGCCAGGCTCTGGGTGACTGCTGGAGCTGTCCCAGCTTGGGGACAGCATGTGGTACCCTGCTGATCTGCGCTGCACACGCTGATGCAACAGCTGCCATGCGGGTACCAGGTGCGGGGGTGGCAATCCCTACTGCCCCCGTGCTGCATGGGGGGGTGCTCTGCCACGAGGCCCCCAGAGGCCCTGATCACCACTGCTGCAGCTGGTGAGTGCAGGGCTTCTTTTTTTCTTTTCT